GTCTTGTAATTAATACCCTGCGAACAACTTACACGTCAGACTAAATGTCGCTAAGTGATATATCTAATACGTTTTTAATTCAAATTGTTGACCTCTTAGGCCAAAAAAAATTAATTTAAATCTTTTATTTTTTAAAAAAATATGCCTATAAAATAATCAAATTCGCATTTTTGTTATTGATAAACAAAGTTTCTTCTTGTTCTTRTTTGAAATATTTGCCCAAACAAGACTGTGCAGCGCTAGAATTCAGTTTCGTAAGCATACTACTCGTACTTCTGATGCATAGACTGATGCATTCCGATGAGATCACAGAAACCACATTTGTAAGCGAATAGTTTTTTATCACATAAAAGCGCAAGTAGAATCTAACATTTACTAACGATATTCGCTTTCGGTCATGTAATAACACAGGCAACCCAAAACGCGACAGGATAGATAGATTGGCTAAACGGTAAAACTTGAGTCGACCTAGCCTTTGGCTAGTCCGACTAAAAAAAACATCATTGAAAGATATGGAGGTTTTTTCTTCTGAAGATGGACCAAAACTCTGATACGACGCGCAAAAAGTGGATGCAGTGGAGAAACCTGTAGCACTTGAAGGGAATATTACAGATATAACAACAAATAGAATTAAAATTACTACGACATTTAAAAAAAGAATGGTTGTAGGAATTACCGTAAATATGACCATAAAGCGAGTAGCTGCAGAACAACAATCTAGAATAGAGGCCACGCTACCAAGGCGGGGGTAAAATAAATAACAATAAAACCTGATTGTACAGTGATAATGACTTTTGAAGTGGCGAAACTGAATCAGAATAGGYCATATGCATTATGGCGTAACTTTACTACAACTACCAGAGAGCCTTGCTCATTTTCATAGTTATTCAGTATTTTAAATCCCCTTGGAGATTAATAAAGCAATCACTAATTGCACTACAAACGAAAGTTGGCAAAGCATTCTGGTAGTTGTAGTAAATGACGCCATAATGCAAATCGACTATTATTAGAAAGATTACTAAGACTCATTTACATATTTCTTAAAACTGTGTCTGACGATCAAGACAAACTTGAACAAATTCTTTAAAATAAGCAACTAGACGCTCAAAAGCGTTTACATGGGCTTCCAGTAGCAATGTTATTTACGCCTAGACGACTGGRCGGCATGTGTGCTACGCCATCTCAAAAACATCTAGCTGCAAAGTGCCAGTTTTATAAATGTTTACATACAAACATCAACAGTTGGCAGTTAGCAAGGTTATACGAAAAGTTTTCAACAATGTTTACACCGATCAACGTTGGAAACGAAGTGCAATGTTTTGTAAGCTTACATAAAGTTCATAAGAATGTTATTAAATCATTTTTTTTATAAGAACTGAATACAATAATTAAAACACATAAACAGATCAAAATTGTCAATAGAAGATATAATTGAAAGTATTGATTTACTAAACTGAACTATTGACGACATGGAATATCGAAATATAAATCCAATAGCGGCTTTCTAGTTCAATTCGCATTAAATTCTCCGTAAATTCCTTGCTCATGAAGATTCTTGAATTCCATAGCATCAGATGTCTTCATTTCAGCATTGGTAGAGTCAGTTTTCATGTCAGCTATTAACGTTCCGTTAGTTTTTAGGTAGCTTGGAGTGATATTTGGAACGTCGAACTAGTTAAAAACGGGTCAGTTATATAAATCTTGAAACGACCCGTTCGAAGTACGCCCCTTAGCATGTAATTTTTTCGACATCTTCATCGTTCGTAGTTCGATCGACCAACCATGTGATAACTATTGTTTTGGGATCCCTGTGGTTCAATCGCAAAGCATCATRGGGGACTATACACRACGTTGATAGATAGATAGATTGATTGAAGAAAAGGTAAATTAAGACATGAGCTTCCACAGGAAGCCCATGTAATTATAACCCGATCACAGAGTTTAATACCCTGGGACTGCCAAATCAGTGCAAAAGTGTTGACTTTTCAAATAGGAACAATGCGTGCCTTGACAATGTGTTAACAAATCGATCTGATTTGTTTGGAGAATGTTTTCCCATTACTAACAAAGTCTGATCACAAAGGCGTTGTTGTCCCTGCAGCAACAAAGATCAAACCAATTCGTCGTGAAATCACGGTAAGAGATTGCCGTGCTAAATCAAGAATTCCATACCATTGCAAAGAACGTCTTAACGACTTAAACGAATTAAAGAGAATTTCCGAAGAAATAAGAGAAAATAGAAAGAGCAGCACAGCTCGCTTAGGTAGTAAAGAATGGTGGACTGAAGTAGACACGATCTCCCAACGGCGCGCTTCAGTTAACATCACTCTAGATGAAGACACTCTAAACACCTTATGTCTTTTTTGGTGATCTGTGCCAAGATGATGATTATGAAGAACCTGTTCCTCTTTTGATAAACGAACTTATTGACATTCCAGTTCTGAATGAGCGACAGGTTTATTTATGTCTTAGTAGACTTAAGTTAAGAAAACTGCTACTGAGCCTGATAACATCYCATATGGATTTGGAAAGATGATGCGGAAAATTTAACACCCATAGTAACAGACCTATGGAACCTATCATGGCCAATCTCATGGAAAAGAGCCAACATTAACCCTCTACCTAAGGTAGACATACCAAAAGAAAATGGGGATTACCGCGGCATCAGCGTCACTCCAGTTATCGCTCGAGCCTTTGAAAGGATTGTCTATAACCTCTTCGTAAGGGAATAATTACAGCAAAGTCTAAGTCCTACTCAATTTGCCTATAGAAAAGGAGTCTCTTGTACTGATGATTTAATCTCGATTCGAAACAGAGTCTATATTCAACTTGACAACCCCGACTGCAAAGCGGTACGCGTATTTGCTATGGATTTTAATAAAGCCTTCGACTCTATCAAACACAATTTGCTAGCTGAAAAGTTAAAATACCTCACCTCAATCCCTATATAACAAATTGGTATTTTAGCTTCAACAAATAGTGGCCTCATCTTTTCAACATCTTTATGAATGACCTTGAAATCTTTCATGATTCAACCACGGCTTTTATCAAGTATGCTGCATGATGACTCAACCATCATCTCCCCGGTGTTTAAGGACATTGACTCTAGTAACCTACTTGGGGCTTTTATGCAATGGGCGAATACCAACTCTATAAAGTTTAATCCCATCAAATGCAAAGAATTCATATTCCCGATGAAGGGATATTCGACTGATAATCTAACATCTATACTGGGAATTCCTCAATATACAGAACTACCAATACTTGTAGTCACCTCACACAGCAAAAACAGAATTCAAAGTCATGTCC